TCCTTCCCCATTCAAGCCGTCTCCAGCCATTATTAGTCTCAAAGCGGGTTCCTCGTCACCGAATTTGATTATGTATTTATTGTGCAGTTATGTTAACTGTGTAGTTGTGTTCTGTAGTGTTTGTGGAATAACGAGTAACTGTATGATCTGGGGGAACAGGGATTTAATGTGTTGGAAAGCGATTTTAATTATTAATGTGATGCTATCTTCTTGGTTTTGGAGGTTTCAGTACTGTGTTAAAAAATCTTAAAAAATGTTTTTAGCTGCTTCTTTTATTTTACTTATGGTTTCATTTTGTTGTGTTACAGCGTTTATGTGTTGCGTGTTCTTCTGTTTGGGTGTATCGTGAGTTTGAATGAGCCTACTTGTCGCTTGTGCATATGTATGTGTTGTTAATTGTTTAGGTTTGGGTGTTGGCAACAAAGGTGTTCTTCTTTGTGTTCTGATTGCTTCCTGATTCTCTGTTTGTGTGTCTTGAGTGTTCGTATTATTTGGTATGTTTGTTATGGGGGTTTTGATGTTCTTATATTTTTGGCATCCTTTGTAGTTTGCCGTATGTTGCTGTTGGCAGTTACAGCAATGTGGCTGTGTATTTAATCTTGAACAGTCCGCGTTTCTGTGTTCTCCCCCACATGCCCGTAACGTTAGCAGTTGTAACACTGGGTTACAACAGCCTCTGGTGTTTTTGTGGGTTCTACTATGTATTTTTAATACCAGAGAATGATACCATTTGATATCAGCCATTAGAGAATACGGACTACTGTCCTTGAGCGCGACAACATGTACATGTTTCATCATGTGTATCTCAGCCACATGTTGGTCAATATGCCAGGGGAAGCGATCTCTTCACATAGCCACGTGAAGCAGATTACTTCTCTGACGTTTAAAGTGACTGCAACGAAAGACACTGACCACTTCCTTAAATATTTCAAGCAAATAGCTGCGTGAAATGGATGGATTCGTAGACATGTATTGTAAAGCCTGATGCTAAGCCTGGTTCATCCAGTTTGGTTTGGTTTGAATTTCGCGCAAAGCTACACGAGGGCTATCTTTGCTAGCCGTCCCTAATTTAGCAGTGTAAAACAGCTAGTCATCACCTCTCATAGCCAACTCTTGGGCTTCTCTTTTACTAACGAATAGTGGGATTGACTGTCACATTATAACGACCCTACGGCAAAAAGGGGCGAGTATGTTTGATGGGACGGGGATTCAAACCCGCGACTCTCAGATTGCGAGTCGAGCGCCCTAACTACCTGGCCATGCTGGGCCTGGTTCATCCAGTGCTTGACTTGATCAATCATTTAGATATAAAGGAAGCTGCTAGCAGTGCTCATCTTGGTTGTCCAAGGGGAGTCGGGTGAAGAAATAGTATAACTACTCCAATGATATCCATTGTAGTGGGTGGATTGACTCACTAATAAGGTCATAATTCAGATGCTGGTGTTTGTAGCTGTCTATCACAATAAATGTACTATAGAATGTTGAACTTATTTCATTATGAGTGTGCATTAACATATTCTGTTGTGGACGGCACAAATATTGATCCAAAGTGAGTCTTAATTCAGCTATATTCTACCTATTTATTCCATGATGCTGAGAGTGAGAGTCCGTCGCCTCAAAGCCGGCAGCAAAGATGACAAGGAACTCAACTATCAAGGTAAAGCCAGTGTAAGCAATAGTTTAGGTTGTCATGGTTACTGTAGACAAGTCATCAGACAGTCTGTTGGTTACATAATGGCACCACATATGAATAGCTCATTTAATTTACATGCATGAATAAAATATATACAGAACACAATCGTCACGCGGTTTGATTGTTTGAAGTTAAGCACAAAGCTACACACACAATGGGCTATCTGTGCTTTGTCCACCATGGGTATCAAAACCCGGTTTCTAGCGTTGTAAATCCGCAGACATACCGCTGTGCCACTGGGAGCAAAAGAAAAAGTAATTTGATCAAAAGGTTATAATGATGAAATATGAAGTACATCTGAGAATACTAGCTTGTGCCATATCAAGGGAACATATGGCGTTAGTGAGGGAACATGTTTTTTATTTCAAACTAACGTATTCGTGGGCTCATGGATTTTCAAGTAAGCATAACTGCTCAACTTACACTACATAAAGGAAGAACGTGGCGTTATCAGATACTTCCAACAACGTTAGTGACGAATATGTTTAAATTGGTAAAATGAAAATATTCATAAACAAGTGAAAATATTTGTAGAAAAATAAACTACTGATAGTAGCTAAAGTATCATGTCAATGAAGAACATAGTGTCAAACATTTACATTGTTTCACTGGTTTTATGTTCAATTTCCGTAAGTAAAATATTTATATTCCTTCAACTTTGTCAACTACTTTCTTACCATTTGTTTTTCAACAGAAGCTACAGTTAGTGTGGACTGGAGATGTTTAGCTTGAAGTACGTGACGTTAATTTAATCTCTGAAAGTTAAAAGGGCACTTGCATCAGAAATTAGCTGTATATGGTAAATACAATGCTAGCGTTAATTAAATTTCAGGGTCAGGAGCCAATGATGATGATGTCTGACGACTGCAAAGTGTCTAGCCCAATATCAGTTACTAGTGTGAGAAACTGCGCTACAAGATTACTTCCTTCCCAGATGGACTCAGGCTCCACTTATAACTACATCATAATGACGGAAGATTCACTTCTGGCGAAGTGGCTTGTAGTTGAGAAGCAATGGTTGTGTACAAGTCAAGTGAATGTCCCACACAAAACTTGTTAGATCAGAATATCTGCAAGTAGTTGAAAAACGCTTTCTCAGCAATAAAGAAATGTTGCCTGACCAGGGTGACGGGTTTCACATCCTGTATTTCTAAATGTTGAACTGTCCTATTACTTGCGGTCTAAGGTGCCCAACTAGGTTCACCTTGTCCTAAGCGCACAACTGAATAAAAAAATAAAGTAAAATATACTTGTATTCGTTTTTCCCCACATTAGAAAAAACATTTCATTTTGAATTTATATTGATTCAATATAATTTTATTATGAACTTTATAGATTAAAAAAAATCGCAAATTTTGATTTTGGGTTGATTTCAGTGCGCTCTGCACATTTTTTTTTCCTCGCCATAACACAGAACGAGTAGCCCCCAAGGAGAAAAGTTATAATAGTTTAAACGAAATAGCACCAATTGAAACCTTGTAACTTGAATGTAAGTGTAGTATTATCGATTTTAGCCACTCATCGTTTCTCAACCTAAGTAGTCATGGTGTATTGTAGTTGCCTATATTCCAGATAGTGGTCAAAACACGCAATGAAAGCTGTTAGTTCTTTTTTCTGTTCTTTTCAACTGTACAAGCTAATACGAATTCCAGTTCAGTAAATGCTAGCATAGAGTTATATGTATGGTTTGTAAGTATACTAGGCTCCTTTAAATTTTAATTGGAGAGCCACCCGACAGACATATCATACGTAAAGGGTTCCCCCTCCCTTTACGTGATAAAAGCTTAGCTTGGCAATATATGTATGTTGCTAGAAGAAAATATGTTTGTGAACGACTTCTTCCACAGTTACAGTCCTAATTTTTTTTTCTTAACCTTGCTTTATCACTTTATACTTTATTTTAATTGTGATGTTGCAATACGACAGGAAATGTTTTCATGGAACAAAACGAAGTAGACTTATAATACTGTTACGACATCGGCGTCACGTGACTAATATCACGCCACGTCATTGTCGAACCTTCGTGAATTGTCGGGAGATTACTAGATATAGTGTAGTCTTGTATATATAAGACTGGCCACGAAGCGACGGGGAGACAGTGAGTAATTGAACTGCAGTCAGAGAGTATGTAATTGAACGGAGTATTGTTGAAGTCGAGCATATGAGACGTTAGTTGAGAATTATAGCGCGACTGTTGAAATTAAGTGTATCGCAAAGTTGTATTCAGAAAGAATAAACCAGTTTTATTTAAGAAAGGACTTGTGTCGCTAAAGTTTCGTCGGAACGAATTTACGGAAAATTAACTAACGAACGGAGACGTAACAATACCATTTTGCACATGAATGTAACAAGTTTCATTTCCTAATACAAGGCCACTGTTTGTTGGGCCTGTTTTCACAATAGGCCTTATCAGCCAACGACAGCTTGAACGTTAAAGAACTTCACCGAAAAGAAATGTAAATATATATAGATAGATAGATATACACACACACAAATGAAAACAAAACTGGTTACAAATTATTACATATATTAAACTGCTACCATCTTACGTTAACAGTTTTTAAAAAGTTGACTTACTTATAGCTTTGGTATGACAAAAAATTTTCATTGTGTGCCAGTGATCGTAAACACAAAAGCAAAAAAGAAAACAACTTTATTCGTTAGGTTTTACGTGAATGTATGAAGACATAACAAGCGGTGATCGTAATCTACAACAAATGTGTTTCTTTCAATTATTTCAAAATGAAATATTTTCAACTTTTCAAAGCTGCAAGTTCATACAAATATCACATAAAAGTACGATATTTTAATTTGCAGAAACTACATAATCTGTAAAATGTTCAGCTCAAGTTTCAAACAATTTAATCTATTATTGTTGTTTTATTTTTGGTGACAATGTCGACACCAGCACCAACTGACTACACCATTCAGCTGATATCCCACTATCAAGCCCAAGCAGTAACGTAAATGGAGGCCTGGATCGTGTGTAAACAGGAAAAGAATAAGTTTGTTTGTTTTAACGCAAAGCTACAAAGTGGGTTATTTTCACTCTGCGGGGAATCAAATCCCAGATTTTAGCGTTGTAAGTCAGTAAACTTACCCCTAACTCGCCAGGAAACGAAAATACTAAAAAAAGAGGGTTGGAGCCAAGACAATTAATCCAGGACAGCCCAAGGACTTCGCTCGGAAAATTATCAAAAAAAGTCAAGTAAAAATTCTACGGCTGCCCGAAAAATCTAAAGCCAAAGATGAACTGACATCTAATGCAAGGTACATTTTCTTTACTTTTGTAAATATATAGTATTATACTTCGTTTATATCCTTTAATTTTGTAAAATGATGTCTTATTTATGCTGAAAAGGATATTTTACTTGGATTTTATAGATTAAATATTGTTTATGAATTTCAACTTTAGTAAAACTAAAAGTGGTTTACATTTTTGTTTTAGATATTTCAAGATGTATTCCTTAAACTTATAAATTTGGTAGAACTAAGTGATTTATACTTTTTGCCGGGGCACAGCGGCTCATAGAACGGCTCTGTGTTATTATTTTTTTTCCTCAAGTACAAACTTTTAGCTCATAGCTCTGTCATCTTTTGACCCTTTTGAGATCTTATTATAGTTTTGGACTCGGGAGGTCAAACTCTTTCAATTGGTGTATTTGACCACTCCCAAGGTCTCATAGGTTAATTTACTCTAATCCTGCCTAAAATAATTTCAATTTGAGAGTAGGCTGGTAGAGACCCTGATGAGTAATAAAATTGAATTGGGTATATGCGCGCCCCACGATTGGAATTTCTGGCGCATAAAAATTTAACTAATAAAAAGGAAAAAAAAGGTCTCGTAGATTAATTTACTCTAATCCTGCATAAAATAATTTCAAGTGCCGCGGCTATTGAGGATTCCTTCTTGCTGTTCAACATTTTGCAGTATACGTTTGCTTTAAAGGTATGACCTTTATGTAACTAAGAAATGGCTTACATATCCATATAGCGGTTTGACGAAGTGTTTTTAGTCTACCCATGCAAATATTAATGAGTTGGTTTAGCAATATTAAAAGCTAATTTTTTGTGTAATGTTGTAAAATATTATATACATTAGAAGGTATTCCTAAGAGTATTTTGTCCTATTTTGATATTTACGTAATAATTTCTTGTGGTTGTTAAAGGGTGTTTTTGCTTTATGAAATTAATGTGTATCATTGTTAAGGATGTATTGTGTAATGCATACATCGATTTATGTCGATCTTTTCGTTTTTGTATTTTATAGTGAAATTGGAAACTATTACTATAACGATTTTTTGTTAAAACGTGTATTTGTATTTTATATTATAGAATACTTTAATTGTGGTCTAGGTTAAAGGATTTAATTGATTGTCCTTTGTACTGTCATGCCATTAAGTGTGTCTGTTTAGCCGTAAAGCTTGTTTGTCCAGTGCTAGAATAACGTGTAAGGATACCAGACGCCCCAATGTTTAGCCCTTTATAAAAGTATTAAATTGTCCTAGTCGCTGTACCACACTGTGGGTTTAATATGTATGGTTTGTAATTAAACACGGCTCCTTTAAATTTTACTTGGAGAACCACCTAACAGGCAGATGACACGTAAAGGGTTCTCCTCCCTTTCTGCTACATTTTCTTAACCTAACCTGTTACTGGGCAGACGTAGTAATCGAGATTTGAAGACTTGCCCAACGGTGAAAGAGCAAACTAAGAAGCAACATTCTTGAGTAGATTCAACAACACTTAGGCACGTTTATTTTTTTTCAACTAGGTAAGTTTGACAAATCTTGTTTATAGTTTTAAGAAGCGATGAACATCAGATTATTTCGCAAATGGTAGAAAATGTGTTACAGTAATTTAAACTGTTTAAGAGCTGTTACAAATGTCAGTCTGTATAAAAAAAAAGAAGTCAGTTTTTCACCTTGGAAATCTAGTAACCCTAGTAAAGTGCCATAGCTGCACAGATGGTGTGTGTGAATATATTTCATTATTTCTTTTTACAGTTAATTGGTTTTTAAAGTTAAATTTTAGTGATGTCCGGAAACACCATATATTAAACAGGGCAAGTGGTTATTTGAATAAAGAAATGTGTCAATTTCTTGTTCACCAAAGTTTTCAAACTTTTTCGAAATTACATTTGGTGAAAGTGTTAATACAAGTAACGTGCAAATAACCAGCTCTGAAATGCTGTAGCCTTATTCTTGAGCTAATAACTCCCATTTTTTTAAATTATTTTCCCTTTAACGTTTCTAAACCTTCCCACTAAAGGTGTCTAATCTAATATAATATGTTATCTAATATAATCAGTCGTGTAGATGTTTGGAAGAGCTATGTCTTCCGTATTTTTACTTACGAAAGTGGCAAATGTACTCTGGAAGATTTGATCGCGTTGTAAGAAATATATAGCAGTTGATTCTCTCAGACTCTACATGATATAAATATTTCCACATTTAGAGAGATGTCCTGTTTGTTGTCTTGTACACATGTCCTGAGTGAATTTTGTATTTTATTTGAGGAATTAATAAATCTAGTAGTTTCTATTTCACTGCCAACTTGTGCCCACTATTCTCATTCAGTCAAGAAGGAAACTCGTATATCATTCATATTACATATTCCAACGAACCTGTATCCAATAATATTTCAATTTCCGGCTGTTAAGAAATGAAGGGAAGATACACAATACATTCATCAATTCTGAGTGGAAATAGCTACTTTCGGTGTTTGTAAGCATCAAGGTCACCTTAGGAAATACGGACGCTCACTGTAAACCGTACTAAGAATTAACACCGATTTATCTATGAGCACTTAGAACCGTATCAACCGTTTAGGTTGAAGTCATCGACGCACGACGTTTAAAAACATTGGGCCAAATCAGGCCCTTCAAAGCCTAATTCATGGCCCACACTTTTATCAATAACAGAAAAGTAACAAAGCTATTTCGATAATGGCGTTTTTCCCAACAAGCTCAAGCCCAGCCTTGATTTTATTGTCAACATCTGAACTGGCACAGTGTGGAAAATAACTTGTAGCCACTGTTCTAAAAGCTTGAACGAACATTTGCAACATGTGAGACGCATGTTTGAATGGCTAGCGTCTTATTGGTAAGACACATTCAACTTTCAATTACGAATTAGAAATACAATGTAGATTTTTTTTCTTCTTAGCAGTTTAATCCTACATCCATCCAATTTCAGAATATTTCACTGATCCAACATCTAGAGCAACTGTACATGTAAGTGGATTAATATCATTATATCTATGTGTGATTATCTTTCTTCCTTATATACATCTGGAAAAAAGTTAAGCACCCCCATGTTTTTTTCAAGTGATTCAGATTCGACGTTCTTGTGACTGATTATAAATTACCATTCAATCTAAACGTGTTTATCAAATGAAATTATGCATTATTGGGCACAAGA